TGACAGCAGCCATGAGCATTGAGTCACCGATCTGTGGAAAACTCTCGCAAGCTCTTGTCTTCGCTGTTAAAGACGAAATTCATGGCGATACATTGGGTGTTGTTCTCGTATCTGCTCCCGAAGCACAGCGCATCGACGTGTGGACGCTCTATGGGGCGCTTCACAACCTCTCACCATCGAAGCGGCCCGCCCTCATCGTATACATGGACGATATGCCGGACAAGAATCATCAGAGCTTGCGGTCTCAGCTTGCAGACCGTCTAGCTCTACCTGCACTCACGGCTAAAACACCGTACCTCGCCAAGCATTGGGAGGCAATATGTCCTCCCGCTGGGACGGATATCTCAACGCCTATCCAACGTAGAAAATGTGAGCTTGATCGTGAGGCCATCACCGCGATTATGCAATCCATCATCCCGAGCGGCTATCAAGCGTGTCTTCGCTTGAGCCCAGACGACGGTAGTCTGGAGGCTTTTGTCGCTCCCAAAGCTTTCGGCATGCAGGGTCTAACGGCAGACTGGCCACCGCACATCAAGCGCATGATGTCGCTTGCTTTGCCTGGATTCATGGTCCCGACAAAGCTTCATGTTTTACCAGAACCATTTGCCGAGGATCCCCTCGGTGTCGTGGATGAGGAACTCCTTGATGTTCATGCGTACCAGAAACCATCAGTCAAATTCAAGCCCGTCTCTCCGACACAGAAGCGGATCGTCAAGGCCTTTGCCGATATTCTGCTGTGGGACTTGGGCAAGATTGACCCAGACATGAATTTTTTCAGCATGGGTGGGGATCGTATCGCTGCCGAGAAGCTTCTCGCGCATTTACGCGCTGACTTCAAGCTGCACATGCCAGCCAGTCTTGTGTTCAACCACGGCACCGTCAAGGCCATTGCAGCATATGTCGACGCAGCATCAGATCAAGCTCCCGAGCCAGAGTCACCTGCCATTGAAGTTGTCCCGACAAAGATATACAGCTCCACTAACCCTTTCCTTATGCTGCTACAGCTACTACCGCTTTGCGTCTTCTATCCCTTGCGTCGAGCTTGCCAGTGGACCGTTTTTTTGACCGTATTGAGTCGAACACGCTTCTGGATGACAAACGCCTGGCTTATGGGCCGCCTCGCAAATCTTGTTGGCTCTATCACCGTTGGCTACATAGTGGTCCAGCTCTTCTCGCCACTCTTCGGGATTGCCATGAAATGGATCATCATCGGCCGCTATCGAGAAGGCGTATATCCAATGTGGGGAGCATACCACACCCGCTGGTGGTTGGTACAAAAGATTGTCACTGTAGCCGGTACAGGCTATTTCAACACCAACAACTTCACAAAAGCTCTTTACTGTCGCTTGATGGGAGCCAAGATTGGAAAAAATGTTCAGCTTACGGGAGCTTCATTGGGCGAGTGGGACCTCCTCGACATTAGGGACGGCGCGATTCTCAACAACACGGTATGCCGACCCTTTGCCGTCGAGGCAAACACATCCATGTACCTCGGCCGCATCATCATCGGAGAGAATTCTTGCGTTGCCTCTATTATAGCTCCGGGTGCGACAATACCACCAGGCACCTGTGTTGGGCTGAACTCGTCCAGCTGGGAGCTTCATGACGCAGATGAATCGAATCGACTACTGTCCCCGAGTCGCGCCCCCGGACCCCACTGGGCTTTGGCAGCGTTTGCCACATTTCCTCTTTTCACAGTCGCATGGTTTCTCACACTGGCACCAATGTTCGGAGGCCTTATGGGTCTCGTCATCGAGAAGCCCCTCGACAGTCACCTTCCGCTTCGCGACATTTTAACATGGTTCCCGTCCAGCCCGAAGGTGGGCTATCATTATCTTTCGATGATCTTGCGCACACTCGTCAGCCCCTATGTACTTGTCGCATTCACAGCTCTTGTCAGGGTCGTGCTCGATAGGTTCATCGGACCTCCGCGCTCAGGAGACTCCCAAGCCCGAGGTGCTCTCCAAATTTGGCGCTCGTCACTGATCAAAACCCTTCTCCCCGACGGGCAATTACGAGAGGCCACTGAGATGCTTGGCCAGCATCACGGCACGACTTCAGTCATATGGCGAATGCTCGGAGCCGAAGTGGGCGACCGTGTATACTGGCCGTGCGTCGCGCCCGTTACTGGAGATTTCGGGCTCGTGCAAATAGGAAACGATGTTCAATTTGATTCGAAGGCTCAGATAATCACGACTGATGGCGTTGGATCTGAAAAGGTTTATATCGGACATGGGGCCATTATCGCGGAGCATGCTCGTCTCTTACCTGGTGTTCGGATCGGCGAGCGAACAATCATGGGACCTGGTACAATGACACAGCGCAATAAGATGTACCCCTCTGATGGCATCTATCTTGGATCGCAGGGAGGCGACTCTGTCTGCCTAACTTCGGGCCGTTCTGCCATGACTGAGAAGGCGGCCAGGCGTCGACGGCTGATGAAGAGCATGCCAAGTTGTGACACACTAGTCAGCGCGAAGGCTCTGCAACACGTTGGAAGCTTTGATACGCTGGTCGAATCCTGCGCCAGCCCCGAAAAGCTCCCAGTTGCTGAGGTCGATTCTCTTAAGGGCATAGACGAAGGCCAAACAACCGAAAGCCCAGAAACGACACCATTCAGGCAAGCCTTCTATCAACGTGAAGCCCCATACCACGTCTCCAGCTCAGCTCTTGTATTCTTCTACTCGGCTTTTATATCGACTTTCACGGTGTTCTTTTGGAATGTTCCAGTGTTCTGTTCCATCAAGGTTGTGGGTAGAATCTTCAACGATCATATGCTGCAGCGGCCCAGTAACTACGACGTTCTAGCCTTGTGGGTGCTCTCAAGTCTGAGCATGATTGCCCTCACCACTGGCAGTGCCGTCTTGGCTATGAGCATCGTCATCGGCGCAAAGTGGGCTCTCCTCGGCCGCGTCACTCGAGGCAGTCAAGACTGGGACCAAAGCCCATTTTGCCAGCGCAGGCAGTTGTTCCTGACTGTGGAAAGGCTTGTCTACCGCTGCTGTCGTGGCAAGGGGGTTCCAGGAATGTTATCGGGCACGCACTGGCTGGTCATGTACTATCGCGCTCTCGGTGCTACCGTCGGCAAAGACGTAGCGCTGTTCGCGAACGGAAAGCCGAACCTGATGTTCACGGAACCCGACCTGGTGACCATCGGGGACCGCGTCGCAATCGACGACGCCACGTTAGTCACGCACAAGGATATTCGGGGCAAGTTTGACTTGGCCGAAGTCAGGATTGGCGACCGTTGCGTTCTTCGTTCGGGAAGCAGCATTCTTAGTGGTGTGACCATGGAACCTGGTAGCTGCCTCCTCGAGCACACACTCATCATGCAAGACGAGGTTGTGCCAGCAGATGCTACCATGCAGGGCTGGCCAGCTGAGAGATTTGACGGCAACAGAACTGATCACAACAATGTGCCCGTTGTGGAGGACTTCGAAGAACCAAAAATGGCGGATCAGTTCCGAAACAACTCTGATGCCACACTCATTGCTGGTCAGGAATGGTGATCATCGTCCGCAGCTACTGCCCTGGAGGCACGACAATTTGACAACGACTCTATGACGCTTCGAAGCAGCCGCAAACATGAGCATACGATGACGAGTTCACAGGGGAATACGCGGAGGACTTCTAGGAAATTGGGAAAAGAGGAGGAAATCAAAATGGGTGATGAAAAATATAGGTGTGTGGTCAAGCGTTAAAGCAGAGGTTACCATCGCATTGGGCATCCTAGGTAAATATAACACATCTTGAAGATGTGTTCTGAATTTATCACGCTTATGCTGTTTCTTTCCGCTGCTGAAATGATTGCCTAGCAGGTCACACTGATCCCGCTAATACAAACGAATGACTTACTATGGCTTGACCTGACGGAACCCTAGTTATTACAAAACTAAGAAGATGTCAATAATTACTATGCTATACCTGTCAGCCGTCCTTTGTCTATTGTTTGACAATTTGAAACAGCAATGATGCCTGTGGGCAGCTTCAGCTCACTATGCATCTCGTCAGCTTACTGACTCATTGTAAGTATTGTCAGCCCATCGACTCAGCGTTGTCGTGACGCGCCTCATATCCGACACTTCGGCCGAGGCTAGGTAAGTTTCGACCCAGGAATAAACCTCGCTTACAAAGGCTTTTCGTTGTCCGTAAGCCGGGAAATAGCAGATACGAGCTTCGAATTGGGTATTTAGGCAGCAACATTCCACATCCCAGTCAGTTATTTCGGGATGGACAAGCGTCGGCGGAAGATCTACTTTGAGCATCAGGTAAGGCTTATGAACAGTGTTTTTCAAGGATTCAACGCTTTGGACATGTTTTATCTCCCGGTGGAGGGATGGTTGTAAAAGTGTCTGCAGCCTGCTACTTCACTGTCGAAAATGGCGTTGGGCAACCCTTCTCTATTCTTCTACTCAGCAGAACTATGTATGCAAACACCGCAATAGTTGCCAGCTATGAGATCCTTCAGTTGCGGGGTTCTGAAAGCTTTGTGCAGTGGTGTTTTGTGTCTGGTTGTTTTGCAACTTATATGGCTTCACCAAAGCCGTCTTGTATTATCTTTTTTGCCATTCCAACACCAACCAACGCCCATCGATAACGTATACTGCCATGGAAAGCCGAAATGCCTCTTTTCGGAATGGACTCTGTCAACTCCCGACGTCAAGGACCACTCGGACTTTTGTCACCAACGTATAAACAACATTCCCGAACGTCACGATCGACTCGCTACCGTCACTGCACATTTTGGTACACCACAAATCCATTATCAACGTGCCTTGAGGACACACTTTTTACACAATGCGATCCATGAGACAGGCATTCATGTACTGGCTACGATGCTCATCGACGACTTATGGAATAAGCCTGCTTTTATCCTTGACCTTCTACTTTCCGAGATGGAGAAACCAGAGGCCGAAAAACTCGAGTGGTTATTCTGGGTCGACCGCGATACCATTATCCTCGATACTTGCTGATCGCCTCTCAGTTTTCTACTATTTCCGATGCAACACAATAATGGATCCGATACCCAGCAGGATATCGCAGACAACACATACTTGCTCGCGACAAAGGATTGGAACGGTCTCAACAACGGTGTCTTTCTCGTGAGAATTAACCGATGGAGCATCGACCTTTTCTCGGCGATTCTCGCACTCCGCCATTACTGGCCTGATGCCGATCTACCCTTTACAGAGCAGAGTGCCATGGAACTACTGTTGCACGAGGCCCCTTTCAACGAAAATGTGATATGGGTGCCCCATTGGTGGTTCAACGCCTACGGGCGGGGCAAAGACAAGGAAGACTTTTAAGCCGCTGAAGACGGACCCAAATTCTCAGCAGCACCATGCGAGGCGGGGAGACTTCCTGGTTCACTTCGCAGGAACCGGGTACCGAGACCAGGCCATGGCACCGTGGCTGGACCATGCCGAGAACGCGACAGTAGGTTGGGCTCTTGAAACCAAGGAGAGAGATTTAGATTCGGAGACGAGTGAATTTTGGGAGATATGGAAGAATAATACAATTACATGAATCACTTGATGCTCGAATCATGCTCCCCAGCTCCCAAAAGTTCTGTGTTGTCACGCGTATACAATGGGGCACCCCTGACTATGGCTTCAGCGATTCTACACAGGTGGTTATTACCGCTGGCGTACGCCACCTTTGGCCTTGATGATACTCTATCGCCCAAGATTGATGTTTGGCAGACTATCACTGGCGAGTTGACACGCACGGCGGCAACGTGAGGCGGGGTGTTGGCAATCGTAATGCCACCGTCACGCGGCGAGATAATCTTAACGAATATGAGACCTTAATTCGATAGCTAAAACCTCGGTATTGACTAATGACGGGTAATAAGGCCAAGGCTCATGGGTGTCCGATGGTCGAATGACATCCTCCCAGACTATCCTGCCAAGTGGCCTAAAAGTCTTGTCGCCCCAGATGGACGTGGCATAATAATCGCAGGGGTCAAGACAAACTTTGCTTTTTATGTTATCTTCTTATCCCGCATGTTGATCCAAGCTGGACGGCGCTGCAGCGTCGACTCATGACTGTCAGTGGAGGAACTTGATGAGGAGCCATCTTCCTCCACATCTTCCTCGCCGATTTCACCACAGTTGGGAAGCTGCCTCGAACCACAGATACCTGGAGTGTCGGTTGCCGCAATCACTCTCAAGAAACACGCATTGAAGGCGGATGTTTTTCCACTTGGCAACGCCCTCGCGCTGGATGCGTCTCTCGCCGGAAGCTTCTTTTGCTGCGGTCTTGCTTCGAGAACCTGTCTGCCACGAAACGTCTTGTTCACGTCGCACCTTGCCTGCATCCCTTCTCATCGCCTGGCCTACTATACCTGCATAGAGCCAGCAAAGAATAGCTCACATCCTGTCAATGGCCGCCGTTGGCTTGAATCTTTGATTTCCCGGCTGCCTGCGAAGCAAATGACGGCCATGCCTGGCTCGGAACCCATCAAAGGCCTGAATAAGCGTATGACGTTCAAAGACACGCTTTTCAAGGTCACGGGTCGCAGAAAGAAGAACCCAGAAGACAATCAACGAGCATCGACTCAATCTACGACATCCACCGCGACGAATGCTTCAGAAGCCTCAGCCGCGTCTGCGGCAACCATTGCGAACCTTGTGATCCCCGCATCGGACACACCGATATTCGCTGCCCTCCCACCGACGCGTGAAAAGTACTGCACGCTACGCCTGAGCGATGACTTAGCCATCTCCATTGGTGATGCTTTTGATCCCAACCCCAAGGCCACTCTTGATGACGCCCCACGCTTTGAATATGGACTCATTCGTTGGCCCAAATTCATCCGACTGCTCCTCGTCTTTCCCGCCATCATCCCCGAAGAGCCTCTTGAAACCCTTTTGTTTCACGCCGACTTGCACGAGGTGCCATTTCAGATGCTCAAGTACGAGGCTGGAGACTTGCTGCGCACGATGCATCTCAATGGGATGCAAACGACTGTCCACCAGGGCCTCTACGACGCCTTGCTGGCCATGCGCGACCGCTCCAAGAGGCGAAACTTCACTGTTCTCTGGGTCGACGAAGTCTGCGTCAATCAGGCTGATCCGGTGGAGCGCGACGCCCACGCACGTCTCAAACGCGACATTGTCGCCGCCTGCACGGGCAAGACAGCGGTCGACTCTGCTCTGAACGCCAATTTCAAACGCGGGCGCGCTGATCGCCGATCCCTCGAGGTTGACGGCGCCGAGTCGTCTCGCCAATTCACTGGCCAGCCTGCCCGCCAGACGCGACGTCATTTGTCGAATGCTTCGGAGCTGTCCGGAACCACAGCGGCAGACCCTTTGTCGCGCGCCCACTCGCGCGCTCAGTCTGTGGGTGCGTCCTCCGTGAAAACGACGGAACGAATCCGCGCCATCTCGGATTCGGGTGATACTGAAAGTCCCGACGACAAGGGCAAGGCCCCGGCCAAATCGAGAAAGTCGTCACGCGAGCAGTCGGCTGGCGGCTCGATGCAGTCGCGTGAGGGACGACGCGCGAGGAGGTCCATATCATTTGATGTTCCCAGACATCCGAGGGCAGAGGACGGCTACGGCAGCAATGGTGATGATTCAGATGCAGCTGCTACGTCGGATGCAAGCCCGGACATAAACTACGCTGTTATGAAGTCGCAGCCTTTCTAGAATATGCATTCAAGGTGAAACGTTTCCGAGGGAAAAAAAAAATTGACTTTCCATCGTATCGTTGGCTGCTTGAAAATCACATGAATGATCCAAGGTCGATGTGTCCTTCTCCGTCCAGCAGCTGGAAGAGATTGAGATCACCAAAACCGGGTTCCCCACCAGTATCCATTCTCCCTTCGAGAAACGCCGAATGATTTGGTGTCTGGGGCAAAGAGTCCGACATGCCCAGGAATCCCGTATAAATATCACCGAAAGGTGGCGTTCCGAGGCCGAGATAGCCGGAGGCCCCAGAGTTTCGAGCCGGCGAGTTGCGACGATCCGAGACCGACTGAGAGTACGACTGCTGCGGCAGGGCCTCTTGGCCTTCGCGTGGAACAAGACCAAACAGCTGTGATGAGCTTTCCGTTCGCTGAATCCGCTCGTTGAGTTCTTTCTTCTCCAAGTACTCAAGCGCAGATGAAAGGAGAGATTTGGCGATGAGGGCGTACTGCCCAGCATTCGTGTCGTGTTTGGCGAAATGCTCCAGGGCTTGGATTGATCTTCGGCTGTATTTTTCAAGGATGCGACCAAAAGACCCGAGGAGTCCTATACCAAGTACGAGGGAAGAGGCAAACAGCCAGGATCTGGATTCATCAGCGTAGCCCGGCGCCAAAGAGTCGTGTCACTTACACCACCAGAGGAACATGGCCTTGGAGATACCCCTTGTCAATAAGCTCAGCCACTGGCTCTACCATGAAGCTAGCGGCATCGATACAGGCATCTGCGAGCTTCGATTTGCCTGAGGAAAGGCCTGACTGCGTGGTTGGTTGCCCCGCCCGGCTGTCGGAAAGGCGCTTGTGTAGCTCATACATCAAGAAAGGACGCGACACCAGTATGACAGCTTCCCAAGTCAGTTGGAGTGGTGTTCCTAGAAGGTTCAGACTCACAATAATAGTAAGAGCACAGTACTTGACATGCGCCTGTGACTTCCGTTCCGTTGCCTTCTGCTGGTGGGCTGGCGATAACGTGCTTCAATTTAGGCAGCCACCTGATGGACCAGTCGCGAAGTCGTCGAGAAATGCCCTCGGTCAATTGGTAAGATATCTTTTTGCGCGAGTATACTTCGACGACGATCTCTTCGGCGATCAAGAATATTTGCACAGAAGAGTTCAATATATCGAAGGCCTCCTGGCCGTCTTCATCCGGCGCCGAATACGAGACAGTACAGTCGACGTCAGAAGTCGCGGGTGGTCGTCCCATAGATGTGCTGAGGAAAAGGTCCAAGATGCGCATGCTCTTCCATAGGCGGTCACTGGGAGTTTCCTTAGTCAACCCCATGCAAATACCCAACGAGCTCAAGGTTGAAGCCTACCGTTGGCGCTGAGTTTCAGGCCCAAAGCGCGTGTTGATTTCCGTACGGTGGACCCCAATGGAATATGCAGCGCGCACAGCGATACCTGTATTGTCAGTCATGTTTAATGGCATAACATTTTCATGGGACACACCGCAAAAGAGGAACGCGCCGTTGGTTTGACAAGAACCAAGCATGAACACTGTGATGAGGACGAAGGCTTGGATTGTCGATACTGTCAGGTTACCGGTGAGGTTGGCAAGGGCAATATTCCGAGCATGGTCAAAGTACGTCACGGCGAGGTCTTCATGTGTGGCTTGGTAGCCAATGGCCAGTACCAAAAAGTGCACAGCAGATGAGACATCGTGCCGCTCAGTTTGACTGGCCCACAGAGCAATGTCATCACGAACTCTTGTGTGGCAAAATAAATCAACAATACCGCTCGTCTGGTCTAGTCAGTATAGCTTACAACCGGAGGAAGGGCGATGTAAAGATGAAGACTGACCACGGATGAGTAGGCAGCAACGGCAGTAGGTATCGTATCGCGGTGCAGTACGGGCAGTGTGCCGGAGCCCTGACAGTGCGACGGCTTGGAATTGGCGCTGTCGCTACCAGAGAAACGATTCACATGTTGAGCGAAGGCATTGGCATCAACGCGACTCGATACAAGCTGCCGCACAGTCTGAAAGAAGGACAGTGGCGCGCAATCGCCAATGAAGACTTGTCAATGGTCAGCCACGTTAGGGTCTCATGGCGCTTGCCCGAACTAACATACTGAGCTTTCCTTGTGCGTCTCTCAGGAGCCGGGCCTCTCGTGGAACTTCAGTCTCGTCATCGGCGGCCTCTTGTGAAGTGTCGACTCGAGGCGTTGGCGTGGCGGTATGGCTTTGCTGACGACTGTACGACGACCTCGGGCCCGGCGACTGGTGATGCCGGGTCAGCCGATCAGACCCAGGGGCGGACGGCGATGGCGTGACTGTCGTCCGGGCCACCTGCGTGCGTCGGCGGTGCTGGGGGGAATAATGGCACGTTGAGGCCCGTTGCCGGCGAGTACAGTAGCTGCAGGGAATATTGCCATCGCATTTCACTGGGCCGTCGATCAGCAATCGATCTACGTATGCAAGATCTAAGGGGCATGGGCGGATACCCTTTCTCGCCTTGCAACTATCGCAAGCATTGGCAATCCGGGCGCGGACGCGCCGGACGGGATCATCTTCCATAAATGTCGTGTCAGTCCAATGGCTGGACGGATGACGGACTCGGAGGGCGCTCGGAAGTTGCACAGCACTGGTGGCGGGTGACAGGGTGCAGATGTAGGCGTGACCGTATGGGTGTGGATAGCGAAGGGCGGATAGTAAGGGCGGATGGAGAGTGGGCGGCTTGTCTTTGGCTGCCGGGAGGGAAGGGTCAATCTCTACTGCAAAAATGCTCTTGATTCGGCTTCCGCGCTCGGGATTACAAAGTCACCAGACCTGGGTACCTTACTAACAGTTTCGGGTGGGTCAATGACGTCTTTAGTGCGGCGCATCGTACGATCCGAGGCAGGCAGGTTCATATCCGTAGCTTCCGCACTATCATCCGCATCCGCAACCGCATCTTTGACAGCTCACGGGACTTGTCCCAAGTCTTCCCCCCGCTTGCCCGCTGGCCCGGTTTGCATCACATCAGGGCAAAATTTGTAACAGGTTATCAAGCCCCCAAAGATCTCAAGTTGACCTATCAAGAACGCCCGCTATGCATTTCAAGCACGTAGGTCTATCGCCATGCGCATGCAATCCGAACCGTCATCGCCTGCTCAAATCTCCCGCCTGTGCCGTTTCGTCTCTCGTCTGCTTGAGGAACGGCATCAGCGGCGTTCCGCCAGTACCCGTCAGCTGTTTTGAGTCCTTGGTCGTCTCTGACACACTCGCCAAGTCGACCTTGCCGGCTGTTGCAGTGCCCTTTGCCTTCTGTGATGGCAGCACAATGTATCGCGCCACAATCTGAAGATGCTTGTTGCGAAAATCTGTCAGAGCCCGCGTTGCCGCCTGATATGCATCGTGGAGTCTTTCCTGCGCCTTTGTCTGGGGCGGCAACATGGCCAGCTCACGGATGCTCCCCAGCAGCCGTACGTGCTCGAGGAATCGTCTATGTGGACCGGGCATGTATTCGCGGACTTGCTGATGGAATGTCGGCTCTTTGGACGCCTTGGGGTTCGACTCGGACTTGAAGTTGCCATGAGACATGTGTTCAACACCAAGAACGACGTCGAGGAACTGAATGAGAGAGCTCTGGCCGTTACTGCCGCCTCGGAGCTGCTGCCAGCTGCCCTTGCCGTTCCCTTCGTCGTAAAAGACTCCATTGGGCAAACCCGCTGCCGCCATGTTTTTGCTGCCCGCCAAAAATGGTCGGATCTTGTAAAAGAAGCACATGGGGTCACACGCCTCGTACATGCGTTCCAGAAGCGCGCCCGTCTTGCGGATGCTGCTCGTCAGCGACTCGATTGATGATGTGATGGTATCATAGTCCCGCGACTTGATGGCATCAAGCCCGTTTAACATGGACGAGACGATGTGCGCACCCTCGGCCTCCATTGCCACCGACACAAGATAAAACCAAGCCTCGTCACGAGTTCCGGTAAATGTGTGGAGTGACTCGAGTTTGTCGAGGTCGGTAAAGTCTGTGCTCGAGCTGGAGAAGTTCCAGAGGTTGAGCGCGGCGTACGTTGCGACTGGTGGCAGCTCTAGGTGCTTTGCAACACGTAAAATGGGGACGGACACGGCTGGTGGAAGCACCTGAACATAGATCAGCCGGGCTCGTAGGCTTTTGCGCGGCACAAATCGTACGTACCTCTTCGGCCTTTTCTCCACCCCAGACCCAAGCGTGTGTGAAGAAGCTAAGGATGACATAGGCTCTCCTCCACTCGGATTCGCTCGAAAGCTGGCTTGTTGACAGCACTGGCAACTTTCGAACCTCGTCATGAAATCTTCTCGAGCTCAGGAGCTCGGGGAGGTGGTAAATTACTCGCTCCCAGGGGGCATAGTATGCGGAAGGGAGATGTGGCAGTGGCGCCTCAGCTGGGAGAAAGCCATTCTTGGTGATTCCAAACTCCCTATATGCTTGTTCCGTGAAGGCATCTTCGCGAAGTGGGGAGATGGCATGGGGAGACATGATGAATAGAGACGCTGTGTGAAAAGGGCAGTTTGACAGTGCTAACGAGCATACTTGATGCGAAACTTGAGAAAAATGAGAGCAGAATATTTAGAACTTGCTCATGACGGCCGCTGTGACATGAAGTATCTTGTCTCCATGCCCATTCGTATCCCTGACTTGAACATCCGCAGCGGAACCCCGATCCCGCTCCGTGGTCCAACTCCTTGTTCCGCCTCCGGCTATTTGCGGAAGAAAATTCAGCGGGTCGGTTGTCGGATGCGGATCTCGGATGTGGGTGCGGATGTGCTCTTTTGCAGCCAAGTGCGGCCGACGGCGGCTACAAAGTGGTCGAAAAGCCGCCCCAAGCAATCACTCAACCCCTCATTCAGCAGAACACTACAAGCACCTCATCGTCCGATATATCTCACCCGCACTGCCAGCCTCATACGATTACCCCAGTCATGGAGTTCTCATCTTACGTGGAGCACCTCCGTTCCGGCGGCCGTGCCAAGTTTCCGGCCAATGCCAACACAATTGAATACGCCCAGCAGATGGACCGCCAGGATGAACTTCGCCACTTCCGAAATGAATTCATCCTGCCGACCAAGGGGTCATTGAAGAAGAAGTCAATTAATGGTATCCTGCCAAGTAAATGCTTCGCTCCAAAAGATCGATCGCATCAAGCTGACATCGCTCACAGATGGTGAGCAGCTGGCTGTCAATGGTGAGACCAACGGTCACAGCACATCCCCAGCAGATGACACGCCATCCATCTACTTCTGCGGCAACTCACTTGGTGTACAGCCCAAGGCTACGCGGCATTACCTGAATGCGCAACTCGAGACCTGGGCTTCGATCGCTGTTGGCGGCCACTTCTCAGCGCTGGAGGATTCACCTCTTGTGTGCTGGCAGGACATGGCGGAGGAGTGTGCTATCAGAAGCGCTGCCATCGTTGGAGCGCTACCCGAGGAGGTCGTGGTCATGAACACTCTAACAGCGAACCTGCACTTTCTCATGGCAAGCTTCTACCGACCCACTGAAAAGAAGCACAAGATCATCCTCGAATGGCGCCCATTTCCCAGTGACCACTATGCCATCGAGTCACAGATTCAATGGCACAGCCTGGACCCCAAGAAGTCGATGGTGCAGATCCAACCGGACAACGATTTTTACATCTCCACCGATCTCATTTTGAGAACCATCGATGAGCATGCCGACGAGACAGCGCTCATCCTTCTGCCTGGCATCCAGTACTACAGCGGCCAATTATTCGACATGGAGCGCATCACCAAATACGCACAGGATCGTGATATCGTTGTCGGCTGGGATCTTGCCCACGCGGCTGGCAACGTTGAGGTCAAGCTTCACGACTGGAATGTTGACTTTGCGGTGTGGTGCACATACAAGTACCAGAACGCGGGACCTGGCGCTATCGCAGGCGCGTTCGTTCACGAGAGGCATGGTAAGGTGGAGAAGGAGGCCGGGCGTCCTGTGTTCAGGCACCGCCTGACAGGATGGTACGGCGGAGACAAGTCTGTGCGATTCAACATGGACAACAACTTCTTGCCGACAATAGGCGCTGGCGGCTTCCAGGTTTCGAACCCTTCGGCGATTGATCTAGCGTCGCTTGCCGCGTCGCTTTCTGTTTTTGCCAAGACGGACATGAAGTCGTTGAGATCCAAGGCGCTGGTCCTGACAGCGTACGCAGAGCACCTACTGGATGGTATCCTCGCGGACGAGTCCAAGGATGAGCCATCCTTCAGAGTTATCACGCCAAGGAACCCGTTGGAGCGAGGCACGCAGCTGAGCGTGCTGCTCAGCGACGGCCTATTGAATGACGTTAGCGCAGCACTGACGGACGCGGGTGTGGTTTGTGATAAGAGGAAGCCGGGCGTCATTCGTGTTGCCCCGGTGCCGCTGTACTGTACGTTCGAGGATGTCTGGACATTTATGGACGTCCTCAGGAAGTCGATTGCATAGACAAAGGTAGTAAAAGTACATAGCGGATTGTTTTACGAAGAGCATCACATCACACCCTGTCGCCCACGTGAGCTTCTCTCGAGGGAGTCAAGATTCGGCTTGCTCAAGAAACTTCAATCAGATGATGGGGAGCTCCGTCGCGTCGGCTCCGAGCTCGTCTTTGAGCTGAGCGATGTTATGAGTTCGGCTGCTCTCGTCCCTAATCTTTCGCAAGGCGAGCGCTTCTTCTGCGACTGTCAAGAGTCGAATTGAAACTTTTAGTTGTCTCCCGTATAGTTTCAAGTAGATCAAGACGGGTCTTCTGTTGTCTTTTAAAGTCCGTTTCTAACTTCAATTGTGGAAGCACAAGGTCTCAAAACGTCCAGATATCCCTAACCATCACTTATGGATGGGTTAGCCCAAATGTACAGTTGTTATTCTGCTTGTCAGGGTATCTTGGACTGGGGGTCAAAGCCTTGGTAGTAATAGCCCTTACTTCAATTGATCAATATAGTAGACAATGGTCTAATTATGTGGCTGGGCGGAAGATGTATATTACTACTCAATTGCCTGATGAGTTCCGCGCTCCCAAATAGACACAGTATCTGTACTCTTTGCAAGTGCCACGTTTTCATCTTATGATATACATCCAGCGATTGATAGTGTTGAATCAGCCGCAGTTCGGGTCTACGGATGGGACACGAGTTGCTCTTACATAGTCCCAATCAAATCCCTCTGGTGTGGGCTGCGACTTGTCGAACCCCTCAACTTTAATGTAGCAATAGGCCGTGATGCCTGCCTTAGTATGTCCCTTAGAACATGTACGCTTGTCGTTCTCGGCTTCCCCCCCTAATGACACCTGGATGAAAATGCATTCGCCGAATATCGGAGGGCAATGGGGTTTTTTGATAGCGCGGCCGAGTTCTTGGCAGGATTTTTCGATAGTAGTTAGGCGTTCTGTGCAGGACCAGTGACGCTTGAACTTAGCTATA